TATCATGATCCCAATTCTACCTTACATATCTGGCTGGACCGGAGGATGTACACTGGCACAGATAGGAACTGGAAATAGAATCCAGGACAGATGAACCCCTCAGGACCAGTGGTGAGAGTGGCGATATCGGGAGGGTGGAGGAAAGGTGAGGGAGAAAGGGGGAACAGATTACAAGGTCTATATACAGCCTACCTCCCTGGGGATGGACAGTGGAGAAGTGGGTGAGGGAAGACGTCGGATGGTGTAAGATATGACATAATAATAATAATTTATAAATTATCAAGGGTCCAGGGAGGAGGGGGGAGCAGGGAGGGAGGGGAAAAATGAGGAGCTGATACCAAGGGCTCAAGTAGAAAGCAGGTGTTTTGAGAATGATGATGGCAGCATGTGTACAGGTGTGGTTGACACAATTGATGTATGTATGGATTGTGATGAGTTGTATGAGCCCCTAATAAATTTTTAAAAAAGAAAGAAAGTAACGATGCCAACATAGGTACAAACATGCTGAATACAATTGCTGTGTGAATTGTTATCAGACCTGTATGAGCCCCTAATGAAATGATCTCTTATTAAAAAAAGCTGTTAAAAACAAACAAGAAGCCTATGCTTTGCTTTTGGATAAAACACAACCCAACTATCCCTTTGAAGATTTATTGTCCCAGTGGAAAGAAAAGGTGAGATATCTACCTTTAAAATGTGAACTGAAGCAATATTTTCAGTAATGGATTAAACAACAGTTTTCCATAGTTTATATAACAAGGAAAATCCCCAAACCTTGATTTAATGCTTATCTGCTTCAATTGTCTCTGTCATTTCAAGCTAATTGTGGCCTACCAAGTAAGAAGATGTGAAAATGCTGAGCTCAACAGAGATGAAGCACATGCAAACCAGACTCTACTTGTGTCTTCTCATAGGTAGATTATTGCTGAACTCTTTTGATTGGAAATCTTGGGGAAAAGAAATCAATTTAGGAACAAAATTCTAATTTCCTATTATTTCTCTTAATGCTATACAGGAACATTTACAAGTTATAGCTTTAAGAATAAAGTGGGGGTGGGGGATGAGAGGAGAGAATAAAGCAAACAAAAAGTCCCAAATGAAAAGAGAGCTGCACCTACCTCCAATTGCACAGATGGAAGATACTACTAGAATTATTCGAGGAAGACCCACATAATGGCCAATAATCCATTTCTTTAAATAGTAGAATATTGTCTTCATATGTTTATTCTTCACCTTGGTAATATTCATAGGATGATCATATATCTCCATACTGTTGTTTTATGTAATTTTTCTTAAATATAAGTCTTGTAAATCTCTGAAAAACTCAGATAGAATTAAAGCAACATAAAGTCTGCTGTCTTGATACCATCTCATGATTTTCTTTCTTTTTTTTAAATTAAAGACCCGAATTTCCCCTGCGTCTCCAATAGACCTTGCAAAATTAGGGGCTGGCCCCTCCTTCTACTGACGAAGAGATGAGCCATAGACTACTAACTGAGAAGTTGGCAGCTCCATCCAGAGAACCATCAGAAGAAAGGCCTGGCAGTCTGCTACGGAAAGTCATAGGCTGGAAATCCCACGAAGCACGGTTATGCTCTGCAGCACGTGTGGTCACTGTGAGTTGGAGTTGATCCTATGACACTACATTCATTTTCCATCCTATGACCCTTCCAACTAAAATGTAATGGAAAGGCTCAACCCCAGCTGACGGAGACTATTCAGTACCGCCCTGTGTTCATTGACAATACCAGTAGCTGCTCCGCTACTTCCCGCCTGGCACCTATCCAACTGTCTGAAAAAGACTTCTGATTTGTCCCCAGTCATTGAGACAACACATGTCACATGTGATGGAGGATGATCCCTTTGCCTTTACCCCAGAGTCTCTGGAAGCATGTTCTGGCCATAGTTCCAGAGTGGGAGGAGGTCTGTTCTCTTTTGTTGCTTTTTTCCAGACAGAAATTAATTGACCACCATGTCGAATGATGAGGCTGTCTGCTTCTGTGAGAATTTACAGGTTTAGAAGTCCTGCAGAGCAGTTCTACTCTGTTCTCTACAGTCTCTAGGAGTCAAAATTGACTTAAAGGCCAAGGGTGCTATAAGTACTGTATTGTTTTCCAAAGTAAAAGTATATATCCATATATAAACATATTACAAATAATTTTATCATTTCTGAATTGCTCATGAAAAACTTTAGTATTTATAAATTAAATACTATTAAATTTCTCTCATAAGTAAAGATTATCCCATCTTGACCATCCTTGATCTTGATATATATGACCCAGTATAAAAAGTTTCGCTATTTGGGTTTGGATAGGTAGTAGATACTCAGTATTCCTAATGAACTTGTTACCTGAGGACCAATCTCAAATTTTAAGTTAGTTCACACAGGATAATATTACTCTCGAGTAATATTTTTAAAGCTATAGATGAAGAAGTAGTAGTGGGGTAATTTTCACTGCAATTAAAAATCTTCAGCTTAAATTGAGTTCTGGATAGCTATACCTAATTAAGGGGGAAAAAATCACTTATCTTGAAATTTCCACAAGATTCTCTAAGTTTTTATGGGTAAATTGGCTCATACTTCAATTCCCTGTGGGTCGAGGCAGTATACAAATAATATGTATAGTTATCCTCAGTGGTCAGTCAACCTTGAAAAAGTATTGACCTTATGGAGTGAAAGTCACATGAATTCACTATGACCCTGAGAGTGAGAATATCTCCTCCTTATTCTCCACCACCACCACAACCCTAACCCTTTTACTTCATTTTGAAGGAATTAGATGTGCACTGGGCAGGAGCTTTTTATGCTTCATGGTTTATAACATATAAGCCACTGGGTCACCTCAGTGTAGCAGCCATATTACTCACAGTTTCTGAGGGTAAGAGGTTGGTCGGTGGTCTATTGTCCTCCTGATTCAGCCTCTTTACTCCCAATGAGTCTTTTGTCCAGACACCTTAGGAGATACAAAACATCAGGCTTTCTTTGAGACTTGAATTTCGAGTCCCTCATTAACCCAAAGAGAACATACACCAGGTTAAGAGTTAAGATAAGAACCAAATTGGAGAAGGGAAAGTCTCTGGGTGGTACAAGGTATTATGTGCTCTACTGACAGCCAGAAGGTTTGCCCCCACCCAGAGATGCCTCAGAAGACAAAGAGGACTCACCAACCCAGTCATTCCATTCACTCCGGAACAGTCAAGACCAACTGCAACCTCACTGACAGTTACTCACTGACACATACCCCGCCCCTGATCTGCAGTAATTGGCTTCAGGATCACAACTCCTGATTTGATTGGCTGATGAGAGACACTCCTAGCAGATACTTTCGGGGACCATTGCTCATGTATACCTAAGGCAGATTTTGAACCATAATGCTATGTGGTGTGCTCATTAAATACTATTAACAAAGAGTGAAAAGAAACCTATGGAAATTGTATTGTTTATGTGAATTCAAACTTTGGAAGAGGGTCATTTAAGCCAATGGATATTTCATTACTAGATTTCTAGTAAAAGTAACTTTCCTGGATAAGATAGGATAGTGGTGGGAGTTGGAATTGCTACCACGCTGCTTCCGTTGATAGAGACCCCAGTTACGCAGAGTACAACCGCTACATACGATTTCAAGGCTGTAACCTCTTTGAAGCAGATCACCAGGACTGTCTTTCAGGGTTCGTGTGTGAGTTGAATAGCTAGCCTTGCAACGAGAGCTCATGTACTTAACCATTTGCATCATCCATGGACTCCAAGATGAGGAGGTGGTAGAGAATTTGAAATATGAGAATGTAGATTGCTTGGCAAAGTAAGAAAATAATTCGAAAGGTGATACTGGACATGCAGAGAAGAATGAAATAAAATTAGACCCGGGATATTATCAGATATTATCTATAGAAAAATCATAGTGACCGCCCAGAGCAGAGTAGAATTGCTCCTGTGGGTTTTGGCAGCTGTAAACCATTATGGGAGCAAAAAGTTTCATCTCACTCCCCACCCCAACCCCCAAGAAGCACCCCCCTGGTGCTTTCAAACCACTCATCTTCCTGTTAACAGCCAAAGGTACATGAGTGAGAACCAATCTGATAACAGCTTGCTTTTGGAATTCATGTGTAAAACCCCAAAACTTAAAGCCTAAAACACTGATATCTAGTCAATTCCAAATCGTGGGGGAAGGATAGAACTGCTTCTTTGGATTTCTAAGACTAAATGTTTATGGTAGTAGACAGGCTTGTCCTTCTCCTTTGAGTGGCTGGCAGGTGTAATGTGCTGACCTTGTGGTTAGCAGCCGCATGCATAGGCCACTATACCACCAGGGCTTTGAGAATCAGGATTACTGATATACAAGAGGCCCTGATGGCATACTGATTGTGTTAGTCTGGGTACTTTAAAGAAACAAATCCACAAAAAATCATGTATAAGAGCGTTTTATATAAAGGTTAAGTGCACATCAAGAAAACATCCCCACCTAGTGCTGCCCAAGCCCACAAGTCCAACATTAACTCATATGTCCAACACCAATTCACAAAGTCCTCCTCCATCTCACAAAACAGATGCAATGATGTCTGCTGCAGGAGGAAAGCCAAGTAAGGGAATGGGTAAGCATCTCAGCGCTGGCAGGGGTCTCCACATGGCTGCTCCAGCACCCAGGGTGGCATCGGGGTAGGTCCATATGGCTTTACCTTGGGGTTGTCTTGCAGGAAGTGAGACTTGCCAGCTGAAGCAGGGAACTGGCTAAGGCAGCTGCACCCTGGTCCGACCATCACAAAACAAGAGACCCAAGAACTAGAAAGGTGAGGCTCACTGAGCCATTTATCCCGCTGCCCTTCAATTAACCTCACATGTGTTTATTGGCCAGATTGGCACAATAAACTAACTACCTCAGTGATTACATGTTGGACAACTATTTTCAAGGTCAGAAGTTCAAAACTACCAGCTACTGAGCAAGAGAAAGACAAAACTATGTACTCCTGTAAAGAGTTCAGTTTTGGAAACCCACAGGAGCAGTTTTACCCTGCCTATAAGGTTGCTATGAGTCAGAATCAACTCCATGGCAGTTATATGGCTTATTATTGTTAGTCAATAACCAACCACAACTGTTAGGCAACTGATGGAAAGAAATCCATACTTGTACATGTTCCAAAGAAAAGTGACCCAATAGAATATTCAAATTAAAGAACAATATCATTAGTATCACATGCAAGTAACATTTTGCTGAAGATCATACAACAATGGTTACAGTAGTATCTTGATTGGGAGCTGCCAGAAGTTCAGACTGGAATCAAAAAAGGACAAGCAACAAGAAATATAGTTGTTGATGTCAGATGGATTTTGACTGAAAGCAGAGAATAGCAGAAAGGTGTTTACTTCTGTTTCATTAAATATACAAAGGCATTAAACTGTGTGGACCATAATAAACTGTGGGTAACCTTTAGAATAATGGGAATTTTGGGACAGCTCATTGTGCCCATGCAGAACTTGCACATAGATGAAGAGGCAGTTGTGCAAACAGAACAAGGGAATATTGCATGGTTTAAAATCAGGAAAAGTGTGCATCAGGGTTGTATCCACTCACCAAATTTGTTCCATCTGTATGCTGAGCAAATCATCAGAGAAGTTGGGTTATATGAAGATTGGAGGAAGACTTATTAACAACCTGTGAAATGTCAATTACACCATCTTGCTTGCTGAAGGTGAGGACTTGAAACTTATTGATGAGGATCAAGGATTTCAGTCTTCAGTATGGATCACAACTCAATGTAATGAAAACCCAGATCCTCACAACTGGACCAATAGGTAGCGTCATGATACATGGAGAATAGGTTGATGCTGACAAGGATTTAATTTTGCTTAGATCCACAATCAATGTTCATAGAAGCTGCAGTCAAGAGATCAAATGATCCATTGCATTGGGTGAATCTGCTGCACAAGATCTCTTTAAAGTGTTGAAAAGTAAGGATGTTACTTTGAGTATAGAGCTGGGCTTGACTAATGCCATGGTGTTTTCAATTACCTAATATGCATGTGAAATTTGGGTATTGAATAAAAAAATCTAAGAATTGATGTATTTGGACTGTGGTATGAGTGAAAAATGATATTATTACCATGGAGTGCCAAAAGGACAAACAAATCTGTCTTAGAAGTATGGCCAGCCGATGAAACATACAACTTTCCTCTAGTTCTTTAATGCTTCCTCCTCTCCACTATCATAACCCCAATTCTACCTTACAAATCAAACTAGACCAGAGCATATGCACAGGTACAAATAAGAGCTGGA